TCAATCCTGACGGATTATGACGTATTGTGATGGTGATTTGGGGTCCTTTTATTTTTCTAGAATAATTTCAGGCAATAGTGTCACATGGTACGGTGGATATAAGTTGCTATTTGTACTTGAAACTGGCAGTCTACATGTTGAACCCGTCCAATGTAATTTTAGGATGGCAAAACCAAAACATATTCTGAATAAGAAAATCTGTCTGATATTGACATTAACCACCATTTCTTGCACATTTTTGGTATCATTTCATACTTGAAGCATTTGAAATAACCCCAAAACAAGCTACGTGAAGCATCTCTAAATATTTTTTGGTACACCCCATGAATAGCTAGAGGCAGCCTACAAATAGTACAATACAAAACAAGCAACCATTTTCTGTCAGCGAAATCATATTTTTGCCTTACAGATACTGGATATGGTTGATTCAACTTTCTACTTAGTAATTCTACATTACTTTAAGGATTGACTAGACTATTGGCTTGAAAAATATGTAGATTTGCTGCCCTGAAATTGCACTGGATGTTTTTACATAGAAGTGCTGTACTAGTAGGATAAATCAACATTAGGGAAATGCCAGCATATCGACATTTGTCTGGAACTGCATTTATAACACTGGAGATAGCTGTCAGAAATGGAAATTGGTTGGTTCTAATACTGTAGCGGCTTCCATATTTGGCATTTTCTGGCATGGTTTCCTGGAATTTTAAACCTCGCAGGAGCTTGGTTCCTGGAAATTTAGTCAAGGACGGAAGAAATTCTGAGAAAAGATGTAAAATGTATGTTTTGTGTGGCTTTTGTGTGTTGGTAGGTCCACTTCAAAATGGTATATGCAGTAAAATTACTAAAAATGTAATGCAAACCTGTAAATATACAGACCAACAAATTAAGAACGACTCTATTTGATACAGCTTTTTTCCATTTTCTTGGCAGTAATATTGCTATTTTTGGCATAGCGTCTATGTAGGTTATCTAGAACCCAATTTACAAAATTGCTGGATAAGGTTTGGAAACCAGATATGATGGAGAAAAATGTTTTAATCAAGGGTATCTCTGTGAGAGTTGTTTCCACCCATCAGGAAATTGTGACCTTTAACCCCGTCGTCCTGGTTATCCCATCACACATATTTGTCACCGTACGATCGCCGGTCCATCAAGGGGGGCTCAGCCCACCCAGTCATTAATAGTTAACGAGCTTCACAGATGGGACGAGCGGTTTGATGATTAATTAAGGCGATAGCGCGATCGATTGTTCAGATATGACGATCCATTTGCGGCGAATGACGCGTGAAATTCCTCCCCAACTTCACGCGTGACTTCCCTGAACTTGTAAATCATTAACAATCCACATGAATATAGATATTAATGTCTATTTGATCTCCCAGAATACGAGGCATTAAATTACCGGAATTATGACATCTTCCCAACAAATTTTCAAACTGTAATTGTATATTATACATAGGAAATTAAAAAAGAATGCCATACGGTTTGTACATAATTATCACTGATTGAAAGACACTTTCTTTGATTGATTTTGCAAGCTGTTTCAGGACTCAAAATACTGGGTGCATACGCAACTTAGAAATAATGACAATGGTTTTTGATTCATACTTCTCAAAGTTTTGAGTGGTGCAGGTAAAATTTGTCTAGTGCAGGTAATTTTCAGTGGAGGCAGGGCTCGAAATTCATTTTTGGGAACAGGTTCACTGGTGCACCCAACCTAAAAGATTAGGTGCAAAAAATTTTTTTGGGTGCACCAAATAAAAAAAAAAATATTACAGATCTTACTGCTCCGCTTGTGAGCTTCAATCTCAAACTCCAAAATCTTAAACAAGTACTTCAACAAAGATTTTATTATTTTCTGACACTTAGATGCCAACAATATCCTGCATACTATTATACTTATAGAGTTGATATGTACAAAAATACCTACAAAAATATTTGGGTGCACAGCTCCAATTTTGGGTGCACTAAGGTGCACATGCACCCAGTATTTCCAGTCATGAGTGGAGGTATGCAGAAAAAGTATTTTGAGCCCTGTGTTTGAAAAATGTATTGTAATTTTCTACATATCTACTATTACGCCACAACAAGAGGCATTAGATGTGTGATAATGTGGGAAAGATTCTGTTCTTGTCTTGCGAATAACACATCAGGCAACTCATAAAAACAACTTCAAGGCCTCGAGCTACCACAGCTGCTACAAGATAAAATTGTCCACATTATTTTTCCTCGAATGCCCTCAAAGTATCTGAAAATAGCTTAGAAAATTTGCTACGGGCAGATACTAAAGATCTTGATACAGTTGGTGAGTTTATTACACAGTAAATATATGCATTGCCAAAATACATATTCAACAGAATTGGTCCAACAGCAAATACAAAACCACTGAAAAAATTACTTTTTTTTGCTACTGTGATAGTAAATGAATTTACTGTATAGTAATTGATGATACTAATTCTAGCCTTCTCCCTGCTGCCTAACCCTGTTACCAACACAAATTTGGTGCAAAAATGCTACCTCAGCAGGAATAAGGTTATAAGATAGTACATATAATACAAATAGTGACAGACATGAAAATTAAAAACGCTGCAATGTTTTGAATATATACATTGACATTATGTCAGCATTTTCCTGCTTTTTTTTCACCACCACCAGTTGGTAGGATTATGTTAGGCTCTGTACAGGTGGCACTTACATGTATGCCGCATAATTTATGATTGCCAAATCTAGATGCCTAATAGAGCGAAGCCTCCCCACCAGTAAAAACAGTATGCAGATGCGTGATCTTTTCTACAGTACACTTCGTTTTTAACTTTTTTTCAGCTGTGATATTTCAAAATTTATATAAGAATTGAAGTTGTCATGCAACAATATCTCTCATGTTAAGTTATAATGAGAAAATATATATTGAATTCAGTGGCTAATACCAATATCACAGTCTAACAGTTTCATATGTGCTAGGCAATTTTGATACAAACTCTGCCAAAGTTAGTTCTGTATACAGTGTACATATACTTAACCCCCTCTTCAACAAATTTGGTAGAAGTTAAAATAGACATAGAGAAGCATTTCTGTTGCCAGTAGTAGTGTCTTTTTATTTGACTGCTGTCTTTTTAGTTCTATTGCGTTATTCTATTGGGTGATTTTGTAGGTACACTTGATGTACATATGGTTACATATTAACATTGTGACACATAGTTTGTGATAAAAATTCTCCGATCTTGAACTGGTAGTCCCTTATTGTACATACATGTTAATTGGTGGTAAACAGACATTCCCCATCTGCCAGAGTATTAATGGATGGTCCCTTATCAGTAATGGATTGCCCCTTATCAGTAATGTACTGTCCCTTACCCCTGCTAATGAGCTGATGATAAGTATGTAGATAAGGGTCCTCTCAACTTTCATCTGGTTTCTAACAACTCTGAACAGCGCCACCATGTGGCTGCTCTGCAGATTGCAGCTGTAAAGACCCTTGAAAAAATGCATATCATTGTGTGCAAATGTTGGTGTATGTTGATTTTTATTTGCAGCATTGACTGTTACCACCTAAGAAGTGTAAATGCCAATGGTTTATAAACAGTTTTTAGTATGAATGATCTGTACTTACTAAATTCTGTGTGGTGCAGGTAAAATTTGTCTGGTATAGGTAACGTTATATTGATTTTATTTTATGGAGGACATTCACGCGCATGAATTTTCGGCTGTTTCAAAAAAAAAAGATAGTTTTCAACCATACTATAAATCCTTCAAGCAGCAATATGAGCAAATATTTATCATAAATTGCAGTATTGAAACATTGGAAAATGATACCAATGTCATAGAATGCCAATTCCAAAGGAAAAGAAAAAAATATGAAGAAAAATTTGAAAACAAAGAGTCTAGCTTCATGACCACATAGATTGCAACTTTTTTTTCCAAACTTTTATTTTCATTCGCCCACTCACATCAGTTTTGAGGTTCCCAAAGGATGTCATCCATATAATCAAATCAACATGGCCTAATTTTCAATGTTGCAGGTATGCAGAAAGAAAGATTTTGAGCCCTAACATGAGTAAATTTGAACAGTGTAGCACAAGAATAGTGACTAATTCCAAAGGAAAAGAAGAAAATGTGAAGAAACGAATATGAAGAGTCTACCTTCATGATCACATAGATTTCAACTTTTTTTCCAAACTTTTTTTTATTCGCAGGTATGCAGAAAAAAAGTATTTTGAGCCCTGATATTGGACTAAATTTGAACAGTGTTGACTAATTAGTGCGTCTGGATTTTGCCCCCACAGCATTCCTGTTAGTGCTCTAACCTAGAAAATCAATAAATTCTCCAGCTGTGACCCCAAAGCCTCATTAACGGTTTGTCCCCTGGGAAATTCACTGACATGATATACATGAACTTTCAGCCAAGGAGGGGGAAAATAGATCACTGTTCAGGGGGGATGCTACAGTTGGTACTATGTATCGAAACCAGTGAAAAACAGGGAAAAGAAGCACATCAAATCTCACCTTTCAAGATTTCTAGTCACAAAAACTCACCTTCATGAACTAGCTCATTTATTACCTTCGCCAAGAAGGTTATGTTTTCAGTAGCGTTTGTGTGTGTGTGTGTGTGTATGTTTGTGTGTGGTTTAGCAAGATAACTCGAGAAGCAATGGATGGATTGGAATGAAACTTGGTAGGTGGGTAGGTCTTCATGAGACCTAGAAATGATTAGATTTTGGCCCCCCTGGTGGCTTTCCTAGGTACTGCAGCAGAACTTCCGGTTTTGGTATCTCGTGATCTGGACATGCTAGGGTCACGAATTTTGAATGGCAGATAGCTCTTGGGTAGGGAAGAAGTGACATGAGTTTGGGTTCCCTAGCAGCTTGTTAATATATACTAACAAGCATCAGAGAATAAGTTTTGATACTGACATACATAAGTTGTTATTACACACATGTATGAGTATACAACAAGACTTGTAATAACAAATTTTTCCTTCTGTTTGTATTTGTGTACAGGTTACCTGATGGCTTTACACAGTTGCGAGGGTTACGATACGTGGCACTAAACGACATCTCTCTTCACAAGTTACCTGGGGACATTGGAAGGTCTGTATGCTCAACTGTTCACACTAAACAAAATATTCCAACAGCTTAAGATACTTCTTTGTTAACATGCAAATTGCATGTTGGCAAACAATTCACATGGAATTAAAAAAAGCTACACGCAAAATTTTAAACTAAATGTCAATTTTTTTCTTAATTTTAAAATTTCTCTTCCTTTCAGCTTGTCCAATTTAATAACCCTGGAACTGAGAGAGAACCTACTGAAAGTGCTGCCAACGTAAGTATAACATCAACTACAATGTATCATATTTGTTTGTTTGTTTGTTTCGCATATCTGGTAGACCACCTTTAGACGTAACACACCAGTCGCCAGTTTTGTAGTTCAAGCTGTGTAAGACCAGACTGAAACGTTTGAACCACTCACACTGGATTGGACCCTTCTCTTTTCGATAAAATCTTTAACATGCTCAAGGTGTGACTCTCCTTAAACCCCGGATTTCCGGTTTTATGTCCTATCCCAAAGGATGTCCCTAACCAAAGCTAGGTACTCATTTTCACCTAAGTCAAGTGAGGAAATAGGTGTTAAGTTCCATTCCCAGTGTCACAACAGTGGGGCCTGCCAGGGACTCAATATTTTGATGAATAATGTAGAAAATGACCAGAGTAATAAGTTTTAAAAAATGTATAATTTTTTTCAATGAAGCAACAGAACATACTGAGCCCATGCAAAACCTGTAATGTATTGTGTACAGCACTTTGGCACAATGTCTTGTTAAAGTTTGAACTCACGTATTTAAGGATGACATCTTGTCTATAGTTTTCAAATGTTGTTTTGGAAAAGGTATTCTGCAGAATTCTGATGAAAATTCTGTCGACCAAACATCCAACGAAAACTGTGAAAAATCCAAGTTTCTCACAGGTGCAGTACGTTCTTCCAAGGTGATCACTTTCTTGTGTTTTTGCCCAGAATATCTTCAACTCAAGTTGCTTTAATTTAGTGGCGCTATTCTATATATTCAACCCCACCAAAACAAGACCATCAGATATATGTTATATACTGTTGAGAACCCACTTTACAAGCCAATAGCTTGTAAGATAATGATAAGAACCTGAAATGAACTTTTCTGTGAGGTTATCGGGTCTACATTTGCCGCAAGTTAATTTCACACATGATTTCCCACAGGGGTGTAAGACACAGCATAAGAAGTATAATAAACACACAGCTATTATACACTGACATAAACCTTCTGAAAGTGCCACAAATACAATATGCATGTTGTCCCAATAGACCGTGGGTATGGGCTAGGGTATTAGCAAGCCGTGCCCTCCAGTTAAGAATAAGAGGCTTTGTACAATATGTGATGGAATACTGTACATCTAGAAAGTTTTGCAGTGTTCTTAAATTAAAGGCATACAGTGCAATTTTGTGGTGGCAAAACAAAAATTTCTGGATGAGGAAATCTGTCTGATATTGACATTTGTTGCTATTTCTTAGTACATTTGTCGTCATTTTTTCAAGTGTTTGAAATAGGCTCAAAAGAAGCTACATGAAGATTCTCTTTATTTTTTGGTGCCACCCACAAATAGCTAGCACCAGCCTACGATACAAAACAAGCAACCATTTTCCTTCGTTGACATCGCATTTTTGCCTCACAAATATCAGTATGCTATGGGATAGGGTTGATTCAACTTACTACATTACAAGACTTTAGAAAATCGACTTTGAAAATCAGTTTTGCCGCCTTGAAATCGCTTCTGATATGCTTTCAAGTCAATAATGATCTATACCCTTTGGGGAAATTGAATAGATATTGCAAATTTTGATTATGCTTGTCAAGATTTTATGCACTTTACCACTTCTAACACATTACCTTTGTACTACACTATGTATAAAACGGCTTAGGTGCCAAACGTGGGTGTATGAAATTTGAGTGTGACTTATATGACATATTTAATGGAGAATAACAGGCGAGTGATGTGTTAGACTTGTAAATTTTACTCCTGTCTTGACCCCTCTTTGCTCAGCTTACTGTCGCTCCTTTGCGAGCAGATTTATGAGGTATTTGGCAGTTTATATTCAAACTGGAGATGGTATAATAATAATAACTATATCCGTATTGATCATACAATATAACAGACCGTTGGCGTAACACACCAGCTTCTCAGACGTGCGTTGGTAGTTAGTTAGAATTTTGCATCAAATAACTCGGAACGAGGCCTAATGTCATTTGTCCAAATTTTGCCGCTCGTGACAGACACAAATTTTGCCCAATCTGTCATGTTTAACAGTCAAAAATTGGTGTGTAACGAAATGGAAAGAGATGTCATTAAAGCTAAGTCTACCAGCAAAATTTGCCCCTCAAAATGCAGGAAATAGTGTTTCAGAGAGTCAAGATTTCAAAATGTTTGGTGCTCAACATGATGTTTCATCAAACAATAAAATTTAAGCTGGCTAGAACACTGAGACTATTAGTATTATTGCGTAAGATTTTTAGTACAAAGCTACATTTTGCTAATATATATTGAGAGTAATATGTAATATGTTATACATGCATGTAATAATACTTGTTTCATTTACACCAGAAAATAATAAAAACATTAAACGTATTTACCAAAAATGAAACCCGTTAACCTTATACCTGCTAAGGTTGCATTTGGTACAAATTTTGCATCCTTCACAAAGTAAGGTAGCAGGTAGAAGGTTAACATTGTCCAGCAGTCGTAGTATGTTGATGGATGGCAGGTAGAATATTGCTTTTAAAAGATAACCTGTGGATAAAGTCCTATCTACAGCAGGCAGGCTGGGTTAGTGTATGTACTATCACTGGACACACATGGAGTGGAGCTACTGTAGATTTGTTTAATGTTGCAGGACCTAAATTACACAACCTAGGGTTTTCAACAGAATTTTCACACTGTAGTAGGGCCTACGAAAATTAATGTTGTGTTTGGGTTATAAGTCCTGAAAAAAACTAGGGTTGGGGTTGGTAGCTAGGGATTTTCCTATTTTTTAAGTTTTTATTTTTTTATTTTTAACTTTTGGCTAAAGTGATCAAATAAATAAAGCTTAACACAGTATTTTTAAGTTTAAGACTGTATTTTCAGCATTACTTTACAGATTACAAATTTTGTTCCACACTTTTACAGACCCAAGACCAAAACATAATGTTTGGTGGAAAATTTATGAAGGATCACATGTACAAGATTCTCAAAAGAAATCAAACCCCTACTAGTATACTTCCGAAAATAATTTCATCAGGTTGGTAAAACTTAAGAGATAGGGGAATTCTTTTTACACAACCAAAGAGTCTCACCTCGCTGAAACGTCAGGGAGGTGAGATTCTTTGGTTGTGTAAAAAGAATTCCCCTATCTCTTAAACCCCTATACTGGTTGAAAGACAACATAGGGGCCCGAATCTCAGTATAGGGGGTCCAGATCAGTTCATATAGGGTGTTCTATATCCTCAAACTACATTTATATATATGCTAGATAGCACACTGACAGCGTATATCTAGAGGTCCTGGTTTATACAATTAGTTATACTTGTCTTTGTGTGTATGAATGATTAGTATGATGAGTTTGTAGTGAAAAAAAATGGCAGCAAAGAACACAAGGTAGATTTAAAGATGCGGTGAATATTTCCAGATTCACAGTAGCAGTCGTCCAGGTAGGATTTGGTTAAAAGGGTGGTAAATTGAGGAAGGGATAGATACAACAAAACCTATTTGTACTCATTATGTTTCATGCCCAGCAGTGCATTATTCTACTCCAACATATGATGATTCTTCTCCCAAAACACATGCTGCAAAAAGTAGAGCCGAAGGGAAACCTCACCAAAATTTCCTTTATATTGCAGGGTTCAAAATACTGAGTGCACCTAAGTGCACCCAAAATTGGACTTAGTATTAATTGCACCTAGTATTTTTCTGTGGGTGCACTGGTGCACTCAAATATTTTTGTTGGAATTTTTAACATTATATAATAGTATACCGGATATTCTTGGTCTCTAAGTATCAGAAAAATCATAAAATCTTTGTTGTAGTACTAATGTTTAAGAGTTTGAAGTTAGCTCTCATTTTAGATTTAAGCTCAGAAGAGGAGCAGTAAGACCTACACTTAGGTTTTGTTTCATGTGGTGCACCCAAAAAATTTTTTGCACCTAATTTTTTTAGGTTGGGGGCACCAGTGCACCTATTCCCAAAAATGAATTTCGAGTCCTGTATTGTATTGATGGACAATGGGTATGAAATACATGCTACAAGACCAGTGTTAATTTGCAATTGTTGGTGGCCTTGATAAATTATGTATCAATATTGGTCCCTGATAGAAATCTACTTGATGTAGCCAAGAACTTAGCCCCTCCCCTTTCTAATTTGTGAATTTCTTAACAATTTTGTGAAAAAATGCTCCTCTTGTTTCATATATTAATGTTATTCCTCTCGTTCTTATTCCTCACTTGGCACAATTCATCCCATATTCTCCGTTGATAAATGTTAACAATTGTTCCTCGGCTTAGTTCAAAATTACGTTCACTGTATGGTGTCTACTGTGTTAGCCAAATCTTGTGGGATCTCTGAGGCAATTTGAGACTTGTGTTTTTTTTATTGTTCCCTTTGTAGTGGAATGTAATTGCTCCCTCCTGGTTTGAGATATATCGTTCTAACGTCGCCGTCGTGGCAGAAAGTGTTAAAAAACCGTCATTATTCTAGCAGAGAGGGACGTTTCTTTTGTTGTCACAGACAGAAGTGGTCTTTTATCTTTTCTAGCCCTCGAGGGTTTTTACCTTTCACTGCGTTTGTGTCTAGTTGTTTTAACCATTGTTCTTTCGATCGTGCCTTAGGCCACACCAATTTAATTTCTTGGTTAACGAATTTTTCTAAAAAAATAATGGAGCGGGCTGGCGAAAAAAAATAAAAATAAAAACAGGCCTAGGCATCCTATTACGGCCCAAAATGGTACGATAGGAGCCATGAAGTCAACACACCAGGCTGGTTCAACATTTAAACAATGAATTTTGAACTTTTAATGATACCACTGCATTGAAAGATGGAATAACTGTAACAACTAGGATGAAAAGGACTGTTTTCAACTGTTCAGGGCAAAATATGAGCATTTTGCAGTTGATTGTGAATTTTTATTTTTATTTGCAAATCAGAAAAAAATGAAGCGGGCGAATCCGTTAACCATGAAATTAAATTGGTGTGGCCTTAGCAGTGAAATGCTTTTTTCAGTGTTCTGCATTGAGAGAATCTACAGACTTTGTGTTGTTAGAGTAATAGTTCAGCACCAAGGACAAAACCAACAGTAAAATTGAGACTAAAATTGTGAGTGTGAGTGGTTCAAACCTTACAGTCTGGTCTCAGGTTTGACATCTTGAAGAGGCGATAGTCACCGGTTATGTCAATACTTCTGTAAATGTGGTAGACCTTCATAAGTAAACGAAACTGTAACAATTATATAAAGTATCTTACAGTGTACTGTTTAGGGTTTATTGAAAAAAAAATGGGATAGTTTGTTCTAAATAGGACTATCCTGTCAACTGATATATGTATATTATGTTGTGTTCTCTCAACGGAGTCTCAATTGTCGTGGGGTTGTGTGGCGCAGTCGGTAGCGTGTTCGGCTCACACCGAGAGGTCGTGGGTTCGAACCCTGCCCATGTCACTGATCTTGTGCCCTTGGGAAAGGCACTTTACACGACTTTCCTCACTTCACTCAGGTGTAAATGAGTACCTAGCTTCGGCTAGGGACGTCCCTCGGATAGGACGTTAAATGGAGGTCCCGTGTTTGGGTTTGGGAGAGCCACACCCCACGCACGTTAAAGAACCCACCGCACTTATCGAAAAGAGTAGGGGACCTTCCCGGTGTGAGTGGTTCAAGCCTTACAGTCTGGTCTCAGGGTTGACATCTTTGAAGAGGTGATAGTCACCTGTTATGTCAATCCTTCCACAAATGTGGTAAATCGTCATAAAATTGTGGCCTTTTTCTCCTTCACAGATCTTTGTCATTCCTGGTGAAGTTGGAACAGTTGGATCTGGGTGCCAATGAACTTGAAGACTTGGTAAGTAGACAGAAATGTTTAACAAGATGAACTTGAACCCTACAGATATCATCACAGTTCCTGCAGATATGATATAAATCATTTATGAATCATATACACAAACGAAGCATGTTTTCTATGGCTTGCCTGTATGTAGTTAAAGATCTGTTGTCGTACATATAGAATACAACACAGGGTATTCCGTATCGCCCGAGGCCGGGACCGAGGGTGATGCGGAATACACCGTGTTGTATTTTATTTATGTCATACCCACCCAAGAAAACACGCCTTTCAATGCAAGATGAGATAAATGTTGGTGCCACTGAACCCTAAACTGCAACAACATCAATACCAACGTCCGGATTCTGTATTCGAATTTTCGAAAGGGGCACACGCGGTTAGGGCGAAACGCGTTCGAATCGTTTTATGGAAGCCATGGAAGCGTTCGATAACGGGTTCCGGACCGGGCCATAAAAGTACGGCCCGGTCCGGAACCTGTTATCGAACGTTATCGCGGCCCGGGTATGATATAATATTTAATACTACAGTTTTCCACATTTAGATACTATTGAATTATTTGCTGTTCCAAGTTTCAGTAGCAGCGAAAAATTACCTGCACCAATCCTGTTATATCCCTTTTTTTCCTGTAAAAACAATGTGTTTCTTTCATATCATAAATCTTATCCCTGTTGAACATCAGAATTTAGAACTGTATAAGCCAAGTTTGGGAAGATTCACAAATACCTAGTACATAGACCAGTGCAGGTAGGCATAAAGAACACCTGCACAGCTGCAATTTCACCTGCACTAACAGTGTTCGAAATACCTGTATGCAGTCTGCAATCTGCAGATAGATTTTCAAGATTGCAGAAGAAAAATTTATACAATCTGCAATTTTGCGGCAGGAAAAATTGGCACTTGATTTTTGGCGCTCTTGGACTTGTCTATCTTTTGTTTCTTTTTGGACTTCCAAAAATTTGTCTTCACTAATTTGCATATCAATCAATAGTTCATGCTTATAAACCTGCAAGATTGTAGTATGGAGGCCTGCGTATTTGCAGAAAGTATTTCCAAATTGCAGAACAAAATTTTGACTCTTCTGCAATATTGCAGAGCACTGAAAAAAAGTATTTCAAACACTGACTAACCTGCATATGGTAGTATTTCCAGCAACTGAGCCCATAGTTAGGCTTTTGAGAAGTCAGCACAAAAACTAAACCATGCTGTTTTACACTAGATCTGCTGTAATGTATGTTTTTATCCATTTACACCAGCCGGAGACCCTGGGAGCATTACCAAACCTCAAAGAGCTCTGGCTAGATGGAAACGAGATCAAAGAACTCCCGCCGGTAAGTCTACATAACGGTACGCCACGCTGGCCTCTGACATTTTTACCAGGCTTTGTTTTGAGATGCCAGTGCTAGGGAATAAATCTTTGCACTTCTGTTGGTAATGTCACTATATTTTACCTGTCATACACTAGGCTATGCATGTTTGTGTAGAAGAATTACAGTATAGGTCTACATCTAGATGTAAAACTGTGTGAAGTTTTCTTGCACTTTTATCACATTGACGTATTATTAAACTTGCACTACTTTTTTGTCATTCTAGGAAATTGGGCACTTGAAGAAGCTCAGCTGTCTAGATGTGTCTGAGAACAAGCTGGAGTTCCTTCCTGATGAGATAGGGGGCCTCGTAAGCCTGACTGATTTGCACCTATCACAGAACTGCCTAGAGGCTCTACCTGACACCATCGGTAAGTTGCCCATTATTTAATAACAATGCAGATTTAGGTAGTGTGAAAAACACCTCTGTGCAGTACCGATTCAACAAGCTAGGTGGCACTGATGAATGGCCATTAGACTTGCGCATCACAATTTTCCATTCTAGAATTGCTGTTGCACATGTGAATTTTTTTTAATAGTTTGCAGCATATATCTCTGTTTCTATAGGTGGGCAACACAGTTGTGTATGTATTACGAGAAGAACTTCAACAACAACAACAACAAAAAATTAAATGTGCAACAGTAAATCTAGGAAGGAAAGTTTGGGAGAACTTTTGTATGCTGCCTGCTGAGGGCTATGGGGTCTTGTGTGACAGAAATTAGGTTCTTCCAATCATTTTTCTTTTCTGTGTTCCCAGGTAAATTTTTATCCATATTGACTGGCAAAATTCAGTTCAATTACAGAAAGACAGGTTTTAAGCTGTCATCCAATGGTAAATTCTTACTAAGAACATTTTTCTTCTCCGTGTTTCCAGGTAAGCTGAAGCAGCTGGCGATGCTGAAGGTGGATCAGAACCGGATCCTGGTTCTCACACCGGACATCGGCAGCTGTGAGAAGATCCGGGAGCTGATCCTGACGGAGAATCTCCTCCAGGAGATCCCGCCAACCATCGGGAACCTCAAGGAGATGATCAACTTCAATGTGGACAGGAACAGGCTGCTCAACGTGCCTGATGAGGTCAGTAATAAACATGCTCAATCTCAGCGCTATGGGGTCTTGTATGACAGAATTAGTTCCTTACAATTGCTTTTCTGGTTAGGGATAAACATGCACAATATGAGGGCTGTATCTGTATCTGTAGCCAGATATAGCCCATACTGGCTATAGCCAGTATGGGGTCTTGTGTGAGGGAAATTAGTTTCTGACAATTGTTTTTCCTGGTCAGGAATAAACATGCAAAATCTAAGGGCTATGAGGTCTTGAATGAGGGAAATTAGGTTCTGACAATACTTTTGCTTTTGTCAGGAATAAACATGTTCATTCTCAGGGCTGTGGCATCTTGTATGAGAGAAATTAGGTTCTGACAATACTTTTGCTTTTGTCAGGAATAAACATGTTCATTCTCAAGGCTGTGGCATCTTGTATGAGAGGAATTAGGTTCTGACAATAGCTGTGTTATGTCTTGTATATTCACAATGACCCCAAATACTTATATACTGTTAACTACTGTTGTAAAATCTTGTAAAAAAAATTTATTTGTTTGTTTGTTTGTTGCATACAGATCGGTGGGTGTGTGAAGCTGGGTGTGCTGTCCCTCAGAGACAACAGACTGACCAGACTTCCCAACGAGCTGGGCAACCTGAAGGAGCTGCACGTCATGGATGTGGCTGGCAACAGGTTAACAACAGGCTTACTTAGGCTTTACAGGGTTAATGTAGCTTGCTGATACTTCACAGTCAGCCCTTTCCATTAGCATTACTGAACCTCCCCTTAACACGCTTTTGTATTTCCTCTGTAGGTTTATAGAAAAACTATCGTTTTTATTATATCCAAAGCCTCTCCTTGTTTCAATTCGTCTCTAGTAGTACAGAAACGTGCCCCCTCTTCACAAATTTAGAGAATCTCCCCTTATTTTGAAGAATCTTGTTGTTCCCCTCCCCTCGGGTTAGAGAACCTCCCCTTATTTCAAACATCTTGTTGCTCCCCTCCCCTTAGGTTAAAGAACCTCCCCTTCTTATCTCAATGCATCCTGTTGTTCACCACCCCTCATGTTAGAGAACCTCCCCTTGTTTCAAACATCTTGTTCTCCTCCCCTCAGGTTAGAGAACCTCCCCTTGTTTCAAACATCTTGTTCCCCTCCCCTCAGGTTAGAGAACCTCCCCTTGTTTCAAACATCTTGTTCCCCTCCCCACATGTTAGAGAACCTCCCCTTGTTTCAAACATCTTGTTCCCCTCCCCACAGGTTAGAGAACCTCCCCTTGTTTCAAACATCTTGTTGCTCCCCTCCCCTTTGGTTAAAGAACCTCCCCTTCTTATCTCAATGCATCCTGTTGTTCACCATCCCTCAGGTTAGAGAACATCTCCTTATTTCAAACATCTTGTTGTCTTCTCCCCTTGTTTCAAACATCTTGTTCTCCTCCCCACAGGTTAGAGAACCTCCCCTTCTCCATCACGGCGTTGAACCTGAAGGCGGTGTGGTTGTCGGAGAACCAGTCTCAGCCCATGGTCAAGTTCCAGGCCGAGGACGACGAGAAGACGGGCGACAAAGTCCTGACGTGTTTCCTCCTGCCGCAACAGGGCCCCTCCGCAAGTATGGGTGAGTTTTTGTGTTGGGAGGGGAGGGGGTACGAACAGGGCCCCTCCGCAAGTATGGGTGAGTTTTTGTGTTGGGAGGGGGAGGGGGTACGAACAGGGCCCCTCCGCGAAGTATGGGTGAGTTTTTGTGTTGGGAGGGGAGGGGGTACAACGAGGGCCCTCCGCAAGTATGGGTGAG